CAGGCTTGAGAAGAGAGGCGGGGAAGTTTAAAGAGCCTTGGGACCCCCGGGACGCTTTGCCCCCACCCCCTTATCAGGAACAGGAGGGAGCCCCCAGTCCGGTTGTGCGTTTCATAGACCAGGCGACTGTGAGACCGTCGATTCCGCTACAGCCGGACCCTGAATCAGGTTTTAGTGGACAATCTCATCCAGGCTTGAGAAGAGAGGCGGGGAAGGTTAAAGAGCCTTGGGACCCCCGGGACGCTTTGCCCCCACCCCCTTATCAGGAACAGGAGGGAGCCCCCAGTCCGCCTGTGCGTTTAATAGAACAGGCGACTGTGGGACCCGGCTTGGGAAGGGAAGTGGAACAGTGTGAAAAGGGTATCCCGAATTTTCCCTCCCCACACAAAGATAGGGAAAGGTCTTCCGCTGGGCAGGAGGACCAATTCAATGAGGACAGGCTCCCTCTGGGCTGGAGCCCCATAAGCTACCAACCAGTTGCCTTTGTCAACGATCCCTTGACCCGCAGCGAGGTTAGGAGTTTCAAGCAAGACATGAAATCCTTCACGGAAGATCCCATTGGCCTGGCCGAACAATTGGATCAGTTCTTAGGGCCCAGCCTTTACACCTGGGCCGAGCTGATGTTGATTTTAAGCATCCTCTTTTCGGAAAAGGAAAAAGGCCAGATCCTAAAAGCCGCCTTGAAAGGATGGGAGAAGCGCTATCCTCCGGGAGTTGGGGTCATGCCGGGAAAATTCCCCGAGGTGGACCCTGGGTGGGTCCCCACGAACCTGCTTCACAGGACTTATTTGGTCAACCTCCGGCACCTGATCATCCAAGGGATCCAGGAGGCTGATCCAAATAATTTCATTAAAGCCCTGGAGATCTCCCAGGGGAAGGAGGAATCTCCATCAGCCTTTTTAGAGAGGCTGACCGATCAGGTGAGGAGGTACGCCGGCACGAATCTGGAAGCCCCCCTGACGCAGCAGTTGCTAAAAGTTTATTTCGTGGCAAAGGCCTGGCCAGATATCCGAAACAAAATCCAGGAAATGGAGGGCTGGCACTCTGAAACCTTAGCAGACCTTCAGAGAGAAGCTCAAAAGGTCTACGTGGAAAGGGGAGAAGGCAAACCGAAGGAGGAAGCGAAAATGTGGCCCTCCCTCGTAAACCAAGTTTACGTGCTGGATATAGCCCCGCAGAGAAGAGGAGGAGGAGGAGGAGGAGGAGGGAGGGGAACATGGATGAGAGGGAGGGGAACAGGGAGAGGGAGGGCTCAGGGGCGAGGGCAAATGATGGAGCTAGCCCCGCAGAGAGGAGGAGGAGGAGGAGGAGGAGGAGGAGGAGGAGAAGGGAGAGGAACGTGGATGAGAGGGAGGGGAACAGGGAGAGGGAGGGCTCAGGGGCGAGGGCAAATGATGGAGCTAGC